TTTTTAAAAAATATTAAATAATATTTTAAATTTGCATAGATACTTTATAACATATTTTTAAAATAAATGCAAATATACTAAACATAATACTTTGTAAAATATAAAAATATAAATATACTTTGTAATATATCATGGGTAAATATTCACAGTTAATGGATATGAAATATTTATTTCTGTTCCATTACACCATCATTATTCCCAGCAACGGGTATATAAGGGAAACAAGTCGGCAATAACATTACAAATTATTACAATAAAAAATTACATATATATATATATATTTGTATATAATTGTCAAATAAAAGAATAAAATAAATAATGCAAATACAAATCAATAATTAGATTTATTCCAACAAAGCAAGGAAGAATTTCCCTTCAATTTGTAGGAAACACTTGTGTCTTTCTTCTGCACCGTTGATCTTATAAGGTCAACCCTCGGTGTTAGTCTGATTCCATCACAGTGCTGCAAATTGGTGGGAAAAAAAAAAAGTCAAGTATTTATTTTTCCTGGAAATTACGGAGTAATTAATTAATTATACCTTTTGTCAACAATAACCACCGTACGAAGTTCACAGTTGCCAAATCTGAAAACAAAAATTTACGAGTAGACCAAGTCATAAATATATTTAATAATATGATTTTTACTCTGTAAATTTAATTTATAAAGTAAAATTTTATTTAAATTACTAATAAAATTAAAAATACCTTTTGCAGAGCTCAGTTTGAATAGATAGATCACAGTCACTTCCAAGGGCAAACAGCATGTACTGCAGCATTATACCATGGCTAACAATAGCAATCTCTTTCTCTGGCCTCGTCCATAACCTTGATTAAAAATTAATTATAATTTTGGATTAATTAATAAAAGCTAAAAGATTTTTAAATAATTAGCCAAGATTACCATTGCATAAACTCCATTCCCCTGGCTCCTAATTCTTCCTCAGACTCTCGAGCATCGGCTCTCCACAAATTGTCATCTTCGCTTTCCATCTGTACGTTATTATTAATTAAATTATTATAAATAATTAAATCCCTTGTTTCATTTTTTTTTTTTATTATTATTATTAGAACAAAGTAATTTATAAATAAAATACTTGCCAATGAAAAGTCAATATTTGGGAAAAGAGATCGACACTCGCTCACACTTCTCCTCTTGTCCGACGGACGTTCTCCCTACGCCAAAATTAAATAATATTTAATTATTATTATTATAAAATAATTAAATTAACAATTACGTGCATATATATATATATATATATATACATGTATGGCATTAATTAATTTATAAATTAACACATAAATTCATCTACCTACTTCACTGTTCTGAAAATACTCATTTACTAATAATTGATTGGCAATAATTAATTAAAAAATTATAAATTAAATAATAAGCTTTAAAAAATTTGGAGTCTTACATTACGGTCTCGAGCGAGCTCAAGTGCAACAATCGAGGGGGTGCAACACTGATCATCCCCACCAAATACTGCATTAGCTGTCTGCATCGTCCTGTAATTTCCGGAAGCATCACTTTAATCATAATTGATTGAATTATTTTTTATTAAAATAATAATTATTTAAAAAATTTATCAGAATCTATACACATATATATATATATGTACACACAGAAAAAGTAAAATATAGTTTTATTAATTAAAGAAACTAGGAAATAATATGTAATTTAAAAATTAATAAATATTTATATAAAATAAACTGATAACAAGATTAAAGTGAAAGACCTCAGTAATGGGGAGGTGATGACCAGGTCGACCCTCTTGAGCAGTCCACTTGCAATAACTTGGGTTCGCAGGTTACTAGCCTGTTAATTTAATTACATACATTAATTAATTACATCGAACAACAAAATGGTTTTGCTATGTGAGAAATATGATGAAATACGTAGGTAGTATTTTGGATTAATGTTTTTTGAGCACACTTATAGTTTAATTTTCTAATAATATTGTTATATATTTTAAAATTAAAAATTAAATTTTAAGAAAACAATTCATTTTATATAAATAGAGCTGCTTTTTTATTTTCAATTACTATAAGTTATAAAATTATTTATTTTTTGCAAAATTTGCGAACATAACTTAATTATTTTTAATTTTTATTAAAAAAAATATAAATATTAATAAATTTTGATAATTAACTTAATAATTTATTGTAATTGTTTTAATGATCATCATGAGTACCTGCTGCCAGCCTAGAGGAGAGAGTTGTGCATCGAAAAGGTGAGGAGATAACAGAAGATTCCGATCCTTCTCTGCTGCTATATTGTGCATTGCTTGTCCATGCCGCACCTGTAAACATTATATTAATTATAGAATTCATAAATCAATTAACCATAATTAATCAAAAAATATATATATATATATAATTACAAAATTAAATATATACTCACCAAGTGAATAATTTTACAGTGGTTCAGTGGGTAGAAATATCGAGCTCTAGTTGAATCCATCTTTACAAATAATATGAGTAATGTGTAAGAAAAGAACTACAAAGGAATGCAATATAATTTATACAGCAAAAATGAAACATGCAGAAGATCATATATATAGATTTGATTCGTGGAGAAATTACAAAGAACATTAGAACCAAGTTCGGAGAAATTTAATTAATAAATATAATACATTTTTGCATGGGAAATCTCAGATAGAAATTCCTAGCTATCATAATTTAATTAATACCAGCGCGTTAAATTAAACATCCAGAACATTCAAGAAGATGTGAAAGCGTGCTACAAAAAGAAGTTAATTGTAAATTTCTCGTAAAGATGATAAATTTATAAATGCATGCATGCATTGCGTTTACTAAACGCCGTATACTGTAATATCCCAGAATCAAAATATCAAAATTTATTTAAAATGCCCACATATGTGTATGTATGCATACATACATATATATATATATATATATATATGTATTTGGGAGTTTAATTGGTGTAATACATTAGAATTAAGAATAACGAAGAAAGAGTTGCGGGAAAGCTGCAGGAACAGGCAAAGAAGGTTTTTTTTTTTTTTTTTTTTCTGGAATTTAAATATTGGGACTTTTGCTTACGCAGAAAAGAGATCTAGAGACAGAAAGGGGACTTATAGCTTATATACATAAGTAAGCATACATCTTTACATACGTGTGTGATATATATATGTATAGACATGTATGTGTGTGTGGAAAACTTTCTTCGTGAGAATGATTTTGAAAGTTTGCTCTTCTTGGATTTTGGTCATTCAATTCTTGCAAGTTGCAGTGCACAAGGGTCAAGACAAAAAAAATCAAGAATATCCTGATTTTACAAGTTTTCTAAATATGAATTTATATATTCAATTAATTAACCAATACAATATAATTTTCTAACAACAGTACATAAAGACATAAATTTAAAAAAAATTATTTTATTAACATTAGCAACCTAATTTTATTTATGATTATCAAATATCAACTTAAAGTTTTTTGTGTATTAATTTTTTCACTTATACATAAATTTACAGATGAAATTAATTGAAATGCATTTCATATATTTATTAATGTATAAATTGTATGCATTATATTTTTGGTCAAAATTTTTCAAAAAATAAAAAGACTGATTCAAGTTTGTTATTTAACAGTGCTAAGCAAAGTCCAATTCTTTTTTAAATTCTTTAATATATTAATATGATTTCTCTATTTTTTTTAATTATATTTACCAATTTAAAATTAATAAAGTAATAGTTTACATATTCAAACTGATTTTTAAATTAGGTGGGAAGGGTGGATTCCATAAAATTAGTTCATACACTAAATTAATCATTATTCACGGAAGTTTACTAATTATATATTATTATAATTTCTCCAGGTAATAATAATAATATCAGCAATCCAAATTTACACCCTGCACATACGTTTATTAATCTCATCATGCTACATATAATAAATTGAATATAAATTAATAATAATATTTTGCATCTAAATTTATTTAATTCATCCTACTCACAATCAATCTGATACAATTTTTTCGTAAAAATACAGATTGAATTTAAACTAATAGGACAACGATATCTACTATGAATAAACATTATTAAGAAAGTCGTGGTCGAATTGGACACAGCATTAGCATGTAAATGATCAAAATTTTTTTTAAAAAAAAATATTAGACAAACTAATTAATTCATTGAATAAAAAATAATAATAAACTATTTTAAGAACATAAATGAACTTAATAGATCTTAAAATTTTTTACATGAATTTAAGATCAAGTAATTATATTTGTAAAGTTTATTAATGCAGTGACTGGAAAAAAATATAGGTAGGAAACGACGCCGTTTTAAAGAGGGAGAAAAACGACGTCGTTTTGGAAGAGAAAAAACGACGTTGTTTTGGGATGATGGAAAACGACGTCGTTTTGAGTAAGCTGGTAGGATATAAATAGAGGTCGGGAAATGGAGAAGAAAAAAGAAAAAAAAAAAGGAAAGAAAGAAAGAAAAGAAAAAAGAGAGAAAATGAGAGAAGGAAGAGAGCGGGAAAGAGGAAAAGAAGAGGGGAAGGAAGGTTCCAGAAAGAGAGAGAAGAGAGTCGGAGCGGAGGGGAGCAAGAAGGGAGAGGGAAGAAGGTCGCAGATGGACGACGATATCGGCAGAAAGAAGGAAGATGGAAACGGGAGGTACGATGAAAATTTCAGTTGCATTGGTGTGGTGTGAGTTGTGAACTGTTTGCAGGTTGCGGAGTCCGTAGGGGGTGTGACGGAGCTGAGAGGTGGAAGTAGCGGTGGAGTGTGGGATTATTCCGCACGTTCGCGGAGGAGGCTGTGGGAAGCGAGAGGATGGCGATGTTTGGGGCGTACGGGGAATCCGTGGGGGAGAATGAAGGTTGTGCGAGGAGCACAGAGGGAGGACCACTGAGAGGAAGAGTGAGTGAGAAATCTAGTGAGTGTGGGGGGAGGGGGGGATTTGAGATGACAGGGAGAGTTGTGTACGTGAGTGGAGGCGCGGAGTGAGTCGCAAGCGGAAGGGGACGTATTTGGTGAGCGTCCAGTGGAAGGGGTGAGTGTAGTGATTGAGACGGAGTGAGTCAGGAGGCTTCGAACCGCCCTAGGGAGGCAAAAGTATAAAGGAAGCGAGAAGAGGCAGAAGGATAGGGGAAGTGGGGCGTGAGGGCGGTGAGTGAGAGAGGAGTACCGGATTGTACGATGGAGGGGACTAGGATATAGGAATCGGGGAGTGATGAGGTTCGGATGAGGGAGGAGGTGTAACATAACAGTAGGGAGAGGTAAGTTTGGAGGGGGCGGAGAGTGTAGTTGCTTCGGATTAGGATGGTGCAAGAGTATATGGTAGTGTGTGGGTTAGGATAGGAGAGTAGGGGCGTGTCGGTGAGGTGTAGTGTGGGCGTGTGGAGGAAAATATGTGGGTATAGGTGC